TGTGAGACATTGTGGACTTGGACTTAGATGGTCACCCTGGACGTTCAGGCATCATTCAGGGTAACCACATACGACCTGGACTCTGCTGGACTTCCTGGTGCTGGCTCAGAAATGACACAGTCATGCAAATCCTGGTGCCTGCGAGGTTCACAAATGTCTGTAAAAGATCAGCCCCTGCTGCAACCTCTCACCTTGTGACTTGCTACACATTTACAATGTGCTGTCTGATCACTGGCAGAACATGTGCTGATCAGAGGTTTAAATGTAAACAGGTTTGTTCGAAAGATGTAATTACTTCAATAAAAAATCATAGTGAGTTATAACATTTCTGTATGTTGGCCACTCTCCAAACATTTTTTTATGTACACTCTGCAACTATTTTTAAACAAGTATATGGGACAAAAGTAACATCCTCATAAGAGCCGAGTCATGAACTATTTTTATCTACACAATGGAGCCAGTTCTTCAGCCAGAGGGGAATTATAAGATTTTTTAAAATTATTTTTGATTTTTAACCATTTATATGCGACCTTATTTTTGTTCCTTTTGTTTAACTAAAAGTCAGGTATAGTGTTTTTGTATCTTCTTTTTTTATTTAAAAAAAAAACATTTTTTATTTGTTTTAGGCAGCTAAATATGAAATATTTAATCCTAAATATTTAATCCTAATATCCTAAATATTTAACCCAAAAGAAGAACGTAAGAAGTTTCTCTTAGGCCATCTGCTTAGAAGCCCATGGGTCTTTGTGTCATGGCTGCACACACAATTTATTCCAATATAATTATTAATAATTATTATTATTAATAAAATAAATATTTTTTAAATGACTGTTATATAAATAAATATATCATATAAAATTGTAATAAATAATGACTTTTTAAATAAAGATGTCATATAAATAAATATAAACATGTATACTGTTTATATTATTTGTATTATATATATATTTGTAGTCAGAGTCCCACTGAATACGAATCTAAGGTAAATACCAACATAAAATTGTTAAAAGAAAATGGGTCCAAAACTATTATAATCTCACTTTGATATTACAGCCAATCAGTGCAGATATTTAGTATTTATTGCATTTTGTTTTGCGGAGGTGGGAAATCTCCTGCTAAAGCTAGTTAAACAGTGACCAATTGTTTCTTGTTTTTTTTTTAAATAAAAACATAAATAACTAAACCAATAGAATTCTTACAATTAAATATCTTAAAAATTCATGATACCAACTATAAATCAATATTGTAAATAAACATGGTACAAGAAAATGTCTTATCTAGGTAATAATGTAGTTGGACTTTAGACAGTGTTATATAGAAGTGGCAGAAGCATTCAGTTAAAGTGGAACATTGGGCAAAATATCAAAAATGACATATATGTTGCAGTCTGTCACTGACATTAACACAGCAGGTTTGATTTTTTGAGTCTCCCCTGTAACATAGTTTTATTACATGCTGATCCTGACTTTGCATCTGTTATTTTTCCACTTCCAGGAAACAGGATAACAACAGTGTTTGTTGTGCTGTAAATTTGCATAGTGGCATTGTCACCATGTGGACAGAGTAATCTTAGATGGACAACATGTCATTTTAAAAAGACTTTAAAGTGACACTAAACTCCGGAGTTCAACCTTAAAAATACCTCCAGAAGGAAGGACAGTGTCGGCACCAATTCAGAGATGATTTGAGAATCTTCAGCCGAGTGATCTCGTCTTTCTTAATAGTTAAAGTGACACTAAACTCAGGAGTTAAAAATACATTGAGGTACCTTAAATATTAACAACAATGTATCTTATTTTGTGTATCACTCGGCTGTAGATCCTCCAATCATCTCTGAATTGGTGCTGACACTGTCCTTCCTTCTGGAGGGTGGCTACTTGTGTTCCTCATGGTCCCTGTGTGTGTTGTAAAGTAGTCACCGCTCCAAGCTCACTCCCGTGATGGAGTACAATCTCAATACAAATTGGTAAACGAAACATCACAGGAGGGAGCTTGGAGCGGTGACTACTTTACAACACACACAGGGACCATGAGGAACACAAGTAGCCACCCTCCAGAAGGAAGGACAGTGTCAGCACCAATTCAGAGATGATTGGAGGATCTACAGCCGAGTGATACACACATAGGATTTATTTTTGTTAATATTTAAGGCAGGGGCGCCCCGAGGCCGGGTGTCACCTCATCGTGTTGTCAGCGCACGTGCGCGTGGCGTAACCACGCACATGCGCGACCATCTGATTGATGCCTACCAGCCGCAATCTTGGTGATGGACGCCAGCAGAGAGAGGAGGAGGCGTTCACCCGGCAGGATGAGGTATGCCGCCTGGTCCCCTCCTCTCTCCTGACACTGTCGGGCTCTCGGTCAGTGACCAACTGCCCGACTTTTTAGAAAAGGGTGACACCAAAATGACTGTCAGTCATTTTGGTGTCACCCCTACAATGGTGACACCCGAGTGTGGGCCACACCCCCCGTGTGACACCACTGATTTAAAGGTACTTGAATGTATTTTTAACTCCTGAGTTTAGTGTCACTTTAACTATAAAGAAAGATGTATCCTATTTGTGTATCACTCGGCTGTAGATCCTCCAATCATCTCTGAATTGGTGCTGACACTGTCCTTCCTTCTGGAGGGGGGCTACTTTTGTTCCACATGGTCCCTGTGTGTGTTGTAGTCACCGCTCCAAGCTCGCTCCCGGGATGGACTACAATCTCACGTGTAATTTACTCATTTATTTTCAGATTGTGTAATACAATGTCTGTGTTTGCAGACAGCATAGTAATCATGTAAGTCTTCCTCCTAATGAGATGCATCACGCTCACTCCAATGCTGCGGGCGGAAGGTAACTTGAACCTCCTATTTATGTGTCACTGGGGAATTTAGGGAGATTGGAAATAGATCACAAGATTTTTTTTCTGCTTCATAATAGCTGCCATTATAGATGAGAACAGACATCAACGTGTCGGAATAAGCATGCAGCCAGTGAACGGAGAACTACTGACTGCTTTACTGCTTCCGAGCCAGTGACTATGGAAGCGCTGAAGCTGCTGGATCAACATGACAGCCAGAGAGTTAGGATTTTCAGCCAGAGCCTGCCTAGTTCTGTCAGTAGAGGTTTTCAATACAGATGTGGAGATTCATTTCTGGATGTGAGATTTAACCCTTTGTGGAAAACTCCTTCAACAGCATGGAAATGAGACACTTGTTTCCAAGAGGTTAAAGAAGAACTGGGGGTAACTTTTTATGAACCCTTGCAGTGGGGCTCTCCCCATACTGCTCGTTGTCTAGGGGGCTAAAATAAGAGATATATTCACCCGAATGGCAATCCTGGCTGGCTCCTAGACCAGCCCTATCAGCGTCACTCCGGCGGTCTAAGGTCATGCGAGTCATCACGGTGTATAGGACGTAAGGATGCCAGGAGACATACCATCGCTGTAGGGGAGTGAGGCTCAAGGGGCTGATCTAGGAGCCAGCCAGGATTGGAGTTTGGGTGAGTATATCTCTGTTATTTTAGCTCTGTAGGCAAAATGAGCACGTAACCCTTGCAGTGCAGAAGTAGCCCCACTGCAAGGGTTAAGATTTCATTTGGCCAGTGTTTTCATTTTAAAATTTGTGAAGTGCACCTTTAACCACTTCCAGCGGGTTCACGTAAATACACATCATCTGCTGGAAGTGGTTATACCAAGAACACGGCTGCTGCTGTTTAAATACAAGCGATCCGGCGTCTGTACAGTCACCGGATCGCTTGTATGGTGCTGCGTCGTGTGTGTGTGTCCCTCCGCCGCCATCAGCATCCCGGGCTCCGCTGTCCCCCCTGAGAGCCTGGGACCGGCATGGATCGGAGGGAGATCAGTAGCCTGCCAGCCACTGATCTCTCCTCCGATCACTGGACCCGGAAGTGATGTGCATTACATCACTTCCAGTGTCACTGGGCACAGTCTCCGGCTCCTAGAGCCATAAGAAGAAGCTGATGAAGCAGATCTCTGCTTCATCAGCTTCTTTGGGGTCCCTAGGTGACATTAGGGGTCTGAAAGACCTCTGATGTCTCCATAAAGAGGACCTGTCACATCATATTTGCTATTACATAGGGGGCTTGTTAGCCCCTTATGTGATAGCAATAAAGTTGAGTGTACAAAAAAAAATTGTAAAAATTAAAGTAACAGATTTAAAAAAAAATGAAGACATTTTTTTACAGTCCCCCGCCCCCCACGTGCACGCACATACAACGCAAACACGCGTCGGATGCTCCTACGTGCAAAAACAAAAATTGCCCCACACATGTTACATATCGTCACGAGCGTCGGAGTGAGAGCAATAATTCTAGGCCCATCAATCACTGTTAGCACTAAACTGATGAGCCGTAAAAGCGTTTAAAGCGTCGCCTATGGGAAATTTTGGTTATTGCCGTTTTTGGCTGTTTCACGAACGCACACAATTTTAAGGCTTGACATGTTTGGTGTCTATTTACCCGGCGTGACCCCGACTTTTATATTTTACCAAAAAACTGGGTATTGTATTCTGTTTCTGTGCACTACATTTCATTTTAGTGTATTATATCCTAAAATACTGGTATGATAAACATTTGCGCAAATACCGTGCAACATAAAAAATTGCAACCAGCATCTTTTTATTCTACAGGACCACTGCTTTCAGAAAATATATAATTGTTTGGGGGTCTGAAGCTGTTTTCTAGCCTATGATTCAGATTTGATCATCGTGTGTGCAAATGTAAGAAATTGCTCCGGGCAGCAAGTGGTTAAATCTCGCGTGGCGCGGAGCCTTCAGTTCCGATCCTCTGAAACTTTCACACAATTCTAAGTGAATATTCATCACAGACTCTTGTTTGGTTGAACTCGATTGACTTGTTTCTTTTTTCAACCTGACTAACTATGTAACTATGTCATTCTTCCTTTCTGAAAACGATTTGAATTGTGCAGGGTGGCCCTTTAAATCACCGCAAATCCATTTTCGACAGGACGCGGTTAACTCCGCCGGCTCTTACCTGTTATGAGGACCGTCTTGCCTTCCGCGGACAGCATCCGTCTGACTGGTAGCGTGACATAGTACAGCGCGCACGCCAAGAAGAAGACGCTCGCTCCCAGCTTGACTGGAAAGACGAAGTAACAGAACGCTCCCAGCAGGAGCAAAGCCGGCAGGGTGCACAAGGAAGCGTTTTCCATCTTCACCTTGTTCTTAATTATTTTGTGCGCGGCTAATCCGGAGAAGAGGGTCCCCAATCCTAAATACAGCGCAGCCGCAGGGTGCCCGGCTCTTTCCATAGTCTAAAAGAAGTCGCTGCTCGGTCAGGAAACTTCTATCAGCCAGGAAGTTTTCCCCGATCCTCATATTTCTTAGTCGCTTGTCTTTTATAAATATTGTCTTCCCACCTCTTCTCGTATGTGTGTGTGTGTGTGTGTGTGTGTTTTCCCCTCTTTGTTTGACACCCTGACTCCTCCTCTCCAGACTTGTAAAAGAAACTTTCAATAAGTAATTTATTACCACAAGAGATGACGGAGTTTATCTGAGATCCCGGGACGGGACACCGGCAAGAGACGTGAGAAATTGGGGCATGGCTATACTTGTCATCTTCCTTCACTCTGCGCGCCCTTGCAGTGCTTTAGTTTTGGGCAGAGAGGGGGAAAGAATAAAAGCCTGACTTATCTTTCAGTTCATATCAGCTGAATACATTCCGGGTGCAGCAAAAACAAAAGTCTTACAGTTCATTTACTTAAGAAAGCAGCCACAGCCTGAGTAGAAAAGCCTGTCCCCCGCCAGCGTGCTGCAGAGAAGGACCCTTGCTCTGGTGTGTGGGAGCAGTGGTCTCTCTGCAGGAGTCTGACACCTGCTGAAAACAGTACTCTCTTTCCACTTCTAAATGATCCCTGCTGTGTCCAAGTTAGAGTTCTCCAATTGGCAAAGTGCATGTTCCCAGCTGATTGGCCAGCGCTGGTTCTGAATCTTAAAGGGTGTGTCAGACCTCTGCAGAGAGATCATTGCTTCCACAGCCTGAGTAGAAAAGCATGTCCCCCGCCAGCGTGCTGCAGAGAAGAACCCTTGCTCTCTGTGTGGAAGCAGTGGTCTCTCTGCAGGAGTCTGACATGATCCCTGCTGAAAACAGTACTCTCTTTCCACTTCTAAATGATCCCTGCTGGGTCCAAGTTAGAGTTCTCCAATCGGCAAAGTGCATGTTCCCAGCTGATTGGCGAGCGCTGGTTCTGAATCATAGAGGGTGTATCAGACCTCTGCAGAGAGATCATTGCTTCCACAGCCTGAGTAGAAAAGCCTGTCTGTTGGCAGCATGCTGCAGGGAAGGATCCATGCTCTCTGTATGAAAGCAGTGGTCTGTCCGCAGAGATCGGACATGATCCCTGCTGAACACAGCGTTCTCTTTCCACTTCCAAACAATCCCTGTTGAGTGCATGCTCCCTGCTGATTTGAAAGCCTTAGCTCTGACTCATAGAGGGTGTATCGGACCTTTGAAGAGAGATCACTGCTTCCGCAGCCTGAATAGAAAAGCCTGTCTGCTGGCAGCATGCTGTAGAGAAGGACCCTTGCTTACTGTGTGGAAGCAGTGGTTTCTCTGCAGAGGTCTGACATGTCACCTGTTGAATCAGAGCTAAAGTTCTCCAATCAGCAAAAAGCATGCTCCCTGCTGATTGGCGAGCACTTGCTCTGAATCACAGAGGGTGTATCAGACCTCTGCAGAGAGAGCATTGCTTCCACAGCCTGAGTAGAACAGCCTGTCTGCTGGCAGCATGCTGCAGAGATGGACCCTTGCTCTCTGTGTGGAAGCAGTGGTCTCCCTGCAGAGGTGTAACATGTTCACTGCAGAGTTAGAGCCAGAGGTTTCAAATCAGCAAATTCCAAGCTCCCTGCTGAGGGTGTATCAGACCTCTACAGAGAGATCACTGCTTTCTACACATATAGCAAGTGCCTTTCTCTACAGCATCCTGGCAGGCAGACCCTTGCTCTCTGTGTGGAATCAGTGGTCTCTCTGCAGAAGTCTGGCACACACCCTGCTGAGTCAGAGCTAGAGTTCTCCAATCAGCAACTCTCAAGCTCCCTGCTGAGGGTGTATCAGACCTCTACAGAGAGATCACTGCTTCCACACAGAGAGCAAGGGTCCTTTTCTGCAGCATGCTGGCAAGGGACTGGCAGTAGCTCTGACTCAGCAAGTGGTGTGTCAGACCTCTGCAGAGAGACCACTGCTTCAACACAATTAGGGATGCACCGATATATCGGCCAGTCTCCTCCCGCACCGCTCGCTCAGCCTCCTGTGACAGCTGTCAGGATGGAGAGCTGGTACAAGCAGTCAGTGATCGCTAAAAAAACATTTTCAGTTTCGGCCAGACAATTTTTAAAATTTCGGTTTTGAAATTTCCATTTCGGCGCACCTCTAACCACAGTATATTCAAAGCAGACTTCCCCTTTAAGCACACAGAAGCTGAGGCTCAGTTTGGTTCTGTGTCAGGAGGCAGAGTTGAGACCCCTTTAGGGCCTGTTCACACGACGTCCGTTTTGTGTGCTGACCGGATCCGTACGCTGCTGCACTCAAAATGCATCCCAATGTATCCCTATGTGTTTTATGGGCTACAGTTCTCACGTGCGCAGTCCGTTCAGGTTACGACAGAAAAATACTGCATGTCACATTTTGTACGGTCAGGAAATGGTCCGGAAACGGTCAGGAAACGCAAACGCGTCAAAAACGCACTGCATCAGTCTGCAGATCCGCACCTGATCAGGACCTGATATCATGTGAACAGGCCCTTAGTAAAATAATTGCAACATCCGGAGTCTCATTCATTCCCGTAACGCGCCACACACACGGCCGACTACAAAGAAGAAAAAAAAAAACAACAAAAGGTTTTACAGAGAATCAGAAGTCCAATCAGAAAGAAGCCGTTCTATTCTGCACTGAACTTGCCCTTTGGCTTCCGAGTCCCCTCTTCTGTATCATCCAAACCGCTCAGAGAGAATAAACATTTCTTGCTTCCTCCTTTGCAGACACAAGCCGCACAACACATACGCTTTTTAATTGGCCGTGTGAGGCCGGGCGCACGTTCCGCTCTCTGGAAGTTTCTATCTGTGCTGCTGTGAATGTTATGTTCAAGGGCATTATGCCCGGAGGACGGGAAAGCCTACTGTTCTCCATCTCCTGGAGCCTCGCCTCTGTGTTCATTGCTAGAGGACAGAGGGGAGGAAACTCCGGGAACATCATCAAACTGTACAAGAGATAGAACTCAGTGAGGAATGGAATGTACTGTACTTATTGTTACATTCTGTAATAGGCATTGCACTATGTACAGCTGAACAATAGACGAACCTTTAAATCAATGCTTCTCAGCTGGTGGCCCTCAGGGGCCCTGGCAGAGAGTAGTCAGTTTGGGTGGTGACTCGAGCCAATGAAGGAAAAGTATTCTTCAAGTACAGGCAGTCCCCAGGGTTACATACAAGATAGGGACTTTAGGTTTGTACTTAAGTTGAATTTGTATGTAAGTCGGAACAGGTACATTTTTTAAGTGTAACTCCAGCCAAAAAAACATTTTTTAGTTTTGGATAGCATAGGGAAGGGCCACGTTTGCAATAGCCAATAGCAGGCTGGCTTTTGCATCTGCCCACTGCCTGCTGTCAGTCAGCAGAGGAAGGGCCTGAAGGAGAAAGTTCTCTATCAGGTTCTTCAATGCTGATTGACAGCAGGCATTGGGCGGGTGCAATAGCCAGCATGCTATTGGCTATTTCATTTTACTATATCCAATAGCAGGCTGGGTATGGCTCCCAGCCTGCAGATGAAGATGAGGCAGGGTGGCGGGGCAGAGGAGCCGCGGCCGGACGGGGGAACGGAGAAGCCGACGGACCAGAAGAAGACAGCAGCGGAGGCACGGGGGCAGCGGAGCAATGCAGCGGTCTGTGTCCCCACTGCCTCTGCCAACACAGGCGGGGAGAACAGCGGGGATTTGAAGGGACACAGGCCGCTGCAGCCACAGTTCTCCTAAATGTACCGGCGGCCTCTGGTACATTTAGGAGTACTGTGGAGCACGTTCATAAGTACGGATTGCCCGCAAGTCGGACGTCCGTAACCCGGAGATTGCCTATAGCGTGTTTCCCTGAAAATAAAACACTGTATTATATTTTCTTGCCCCCCAAAAAAACACACCTGGTCTTATTTTCAGGGGTTGTCTTATTTCTTTCTTTTTTATGTGCAACAAAATGGTCAGTATCGGTATTGCAGATCCCTTTCTTTCACTTTCACAGGCGGAGTGCGTCTGGTATATCACTCCCCCTGTCACAGTAACCAGCGCTATGGAGGAAGTATCGGCTAATGCGGCTCCACTCCCTCCGCAGCATTGCTTTCTACAGCGCCAGCTTCCTTTGCCATCAGGGACAGCGGTACCAGCGGTGCCGCAGTGGGGACATCAGACAGTGGACAGCGCGGTAAAGTACGGTACCATTTACCGGTACACTTACAGTCAGGGCCGGATTCCCGGCAAGGCCACCGAGGCCCGGCCTCGGGGCGGCACACTGAGCAGAGGGGCGGCACATTTTTGAAGTCACCCGACGCTCGGAACATGGAGTTCCGGGCGCCGGGCGGTAATTTGTTGTCTACATTTAGCTCCACTTTGCACAAGCAGTGCTAAATGTAGAACGGGGAAATCACCTGTTTCTTTACAAGTAATCTCTGCGATTTCGCCAAGATCACTTGTAATTAGACTGCCGGTCCGTCCTCCCCCCGCCGCCCCCCTCCTTCCCCTGCACTTACCTCTCTCCATGCTGCGTCCACCCGGATCAGTCCTCTCCGCCGCCGTCTTCAGGATGGAGAGCGGTGAGCAGAGCGGCAGGGTTAAAAGTACCCCTGCCACTCCGTGCACACAGTGAGAGGGGAGAGCTGTGAGCTCTTCCCCTCTCAGCTGTCACAGGAGTTCCAGCACAGTGCTGTGCTAGAACTCCTGTATTGTAGGTGACATTAATACAGTATGTCCCTGCAGGCTGATACCATCCCTTCTGCTCTTCAAATTCCCCCTCACATGCTACCACCAAACTAGGTCTTATTTTCGGGGTAGGTCTTATATTATAGGATTCTTGAAAAACAGTGCTAGGTCTTACTTCCGGGGTAGGTCTCATTTTCGGAGAAACACGGTAGTTAGTGGTTTGGTTTATTTCTTACTTTGTCTCTGCGCTGTAATAGCCCACTTTACATTTTATTAGCCCCGAAGTCATTGTTTTGAAGAAGGCTTCAAACCAATGAGTATGTGAGTGTGTGAAGAAGAAGAGTGCAGGTTTTGCACGTTCCGGGGAGGGGGGTATGTGGATGGGTGAAGAAGAAGAGTGCTGGTGGTGCACGTTTCCGAGGAGGTGGGTATGTGAATGAAGAAGAAGAGTGCTGGTGGTGCATGGTCCTGGGGG